GCCACTTCGGCGGCGTCGGCGGCGTCCGCTTCCAAGGATGCCACCGGCACGAAGTCGAAGGCCGCGAGGGCGCGGAGCAGCGCGGCGTCGCTGAGGGAGGCGAGCCCGCGCTGCGCCTCGGGCATGCCGCACGAGGGCGGCTCGTGCGCCGAGGCAAAGAGGCAGACTGGCGGCGGGAGGCGTGCGTCTACCATCCTCCGGGCGAGCTCATAGGCGGTGAGGGCGCCGAGGGAGTGGCCAAAGACGGCGAGCGGTGCGAGGTGGAGCTCAAGTCGCACCAGCTCGGAGAGGACCGCCTGGGCGAGCGCCGCCACCGTGGGGAAGGCTGCCTCGCCGGCTCGGGCGCCTCTCCCGGGAGGACTGACCGCCCAGACCTCGACCGGCACGGGGAGGCGCGACGCGAGCGCGTCGTGCCAGCCTTCGTACGCGGCGGCAGAGCCACCGGCGTGAGGGAAGAGCAGCAGTCGCAGGTGAGGGCGGTCGACCGGGGTCTGCACCAACAAGGTGCTCATGCCTGAAGCCACCCGTCGCGTCGTGCGAATCCACCGGTATGCATCAATGCACCGGCCAGAAGCAGCTTGGTCGCGGGGCATGCGTCCTTCGCTCGACTTTAGTGTTTGGTTCTCTTGACACGATGCCGACTTAGTGTGTGGGGAGGGTCGGCGAGCACTCACTCACTAGGGTCTAGGCGGCGCCGCAGGGCGACGGTGGTGGAGGGGGCGGTCCGGTGGCGGACGGAGCAACCGCCTCCTCCCGGCGTGCCGGTTAGGCTGTACCCATGTTTCCTCGCTCACCCCGTCTCGTTTCCTTTCCGTGTTGCTCTACAGCACCCTCTCGTTTCCTCTCTAGTTTCCCGAGGAAACTCCGCGAAAATCGTCAATTTCACGGGCTCTGAGCCGACCGAGTCTGAGGCTGGTTTGGGCCCAAAATCAGCCGACTCGCTCGGCAAAATACCGGGTATTTTGCGGGTACCTGGAAAACCCCGGGTATACCTGGAAAATACCCGGTATTTTGCCGGTTTCCTCGGTTTCGCCTCAGATCTTGCCCCAAACCAACCAGCTCTCAGACTCCGGGAAAAATGGTTGGGTAGTAGGGCTAGAGGGTCGCTCTACACCTAGCCTCTGCAGCGAGCGAGCGCTCAACTTAGCCCCAGCACGGAGCCGGGCTCAGACTTAGACGCTGGAAGGCCGGGGGCCATGAACTTAGACCCTCTGGTTTCCCTCTAGGTTGCCGGAAACTCTCGTAAAGGCCAACTTGCACACCGCCAGCAGGCTCACGAGGGGTGTGGTGTGGTCCGAACGGACAGCGAGTACGCGAGATGGCGTGTGCGACGGAAGTGACATGGAGACATGTCAAGGGGCAGCCCTGATGCGGACGATTTTTTTGCGGTATCTTGATGTATCTCTCCATATCTGACCATATCTGACCATATCTGACCATATCCCGCCATATCCCGCCATATCCCGCCATATCCTGCCCGCCTCACGCCGAGCAGCCCGGCCTCTCCGCGCTCCGGCCGCAGAGCGCGAGCATCGAGCGCCTCCCTCGCGAGCGCCGGATTCCTGTGCGCCCGCGAGCGGCCCAGCCTGGCCCCCCGCTCCCCCCCGACCGACTGAGGCCGCCGGCTGCAGGTGACCATCCTCCTGGTCGGCGATCAAGGCCGACGCCGGGCCCGGCGAGGGTGGCACGTGCGCCGTGACTGTCCACCAACCCGGCGCCCGCCGCGACGCCTCCCTCGCGAGCGCCGGATTCCTGTGCGCCCGCGAGCGGCCCAGCCTGCCCCCCCGCTCCCCCCGACCGACTGAGGCCGCCGGCTGCAGGTGACCATCCTCCTGGTCGGCGATCAAGGCTGTCCTTGCGGTGCTTCATCGACGATGACGAGCTCTCGCCAATCATGGGAATCGAGCGCTTAGCCGCACGGCAGATCACGGCCGGTCGAAGCGCGAAGTTTCGCCCGTCGCGTCCGATTAGCTTCACGGACGTTGTCGTGAACACATCGTGGGGGCTCCGTATCTCATCATATCCACGTGTATCTCCTGGTATCTCCCGGTATCTCCCGGTATCCCGCCATATCCCGCCATATCCCGCCGCGGATACTGCGAAAAAAATCGTCCATACTAATCGTAGGTGGAACGACTACTCGAGTACGTCGATAAGCAAGCCGCCCTCGGCAGGAGCGGCGCGAGGGATTGCGGCGCGCCGGAGTGGCAAGACGAATCTGCGGCGCAACGTCCCAACAACCGGGTCCGCCACACCCGACAGCGATCAGCGTGAGCGTCGCCGCTCGGAGGTGGCGCTGCAGGAGCACCTGGACGTGATAGCGAAGGCGAAAAAGTCCTTCTACTCCCGCTCCGTCGAGGTCGCCTCCGCTCCCGCGGCGAGCGACGAGAGCCCGCCCGCTGGCAGCACGAGCTCGGCGCCGCCGAAGCGCGAGAAGGCAAAGGCGGTGGCGAAGGGCGAGGCCACCTGGTACATGCCCGCGGTCCCCTCGATGGCGCCTTCTGCCATCGCGGACGTCGCGATGCGGCCAGACTCGGGGTAGACGTCTTGCTTCCCTTGGCGCGGCGCGCATGACGAGAAGGTTTGGCCAATGATGCCGTGCGGCAGCGTTCGTGCCGCGGCTCCGGCGGCCTCCTTGAAGGTGAGGTCGAGCCGGTGGGTCGGGCCGGTGACGCGGTCAAATACATGGTTGCCGCGCACGACGACAGTCCACGCCTCGCGAAACGTGAAGACCGCACTGGCGTTCTTCATCCGAATGGAGAGGTCCCCGCACGTCCGCGACCCGCCGAGGCCGAGCTTAAGGTTGTTCTTGCCCGAGCAGGTGCCGTTGATGACATTCCACCCTGCACGGACGTCGCACCACGGTGGGAATCGGCACCACAGTGGGAATGGTCGCGCTCGCTTGCGCGAGCTACGCTGGGCAGTGCAGTGATCGCCCCCACACCTGTGTTGAAGTCGTTCAGCTCGGCGGCCCAGTAGGAGGCGTTGGAAATGGCGCTCCCGTCATCGACTCCGGCGGTCCGTGCCACAAAGTGCACCTCGGTGATGAAGGAGCCGTCCACGATCAGCTTGGAGTTGCGGAGCTTGAACGTGGCGTCCTGGGTGGGAATGGGGGGCGGAGGGCCACAGCCGTGCTGGGCGATGAGCCGGCGCGCGGCACGCCAGGCTCTCCTCCGTCTTGATGTTGACAGCGAGCCCCGGCGCAGAGAGGAAGTTGTAGAAGACACCGTCGCCACGGCAAGGGAGGGATGGGAGGACGGCACGCCGCCACCACACAGGGATTTTAAGGAGAGGGGTGTGATGCGCTAGCCGTCGCCCACCCTCGGGCGTCCGCCTCTTCCTATCTCTCTTCGCAGTTTCTCACCGATGGCTTCTAAGGAAGCCGTCGTCTGCGCCTTGTCTGTCGTGTGAATCGTGCGTGTGCGAGAGCCTTTTGTTGTGAAATTCTCACCAATTCTCGCAGCGACCTTCATGCCACCTCGCGTTCTCCCAGTTCCCACTCTCATCCTCGTTCTCTCTCCTGCTGTTTCATCCTCTGACTCATCGCTCTCCTCGGCCTCGACCTTTCAAACTCGGTGTCGAACTCTCGCGAACGCGATTCTTTTGGTGTGCCGGTGTGTGTGCCACCGAGGGCACCATGAAGTACAGCGATCGCCATCTCGCTGGCCTCTTCGCAGGCCCCCCCGACCGCGTCGAACTCATCGGCGCGGGCTCTCTCGGCTACGGGACCGGCCCCAGCTTCGGCTGAGGGCTGACAAGCTGCCGAGCCCAAATCACTGTGAGAGTCGTGATTTCTTGTGTGCCTGCCAGTCCGCGCCAGTCTGCGCCCTTGTCGTGCCAGTGTGCTGTGACTTTTAAGATTCTGTGCCTTTTGTGGTGCTAGTCCGTGCCAAAAAGAAAGAAAGAAAACAGACAACCCAAGGGAGGGATAGTCCGTGCCAGTCTGCTGTGAGACGATGCGAGAATTCTTTTCGAAAAGCTCCACACGTGGGGCGGCCGGAGACACGGACGCTCAGCGCCACGCGTTGCCGGCAAGGCCCCTCGTGCCGCGCCCGCTGCTGCTCCGCTCGGCCGAGGTTGGGCGTGAAGCTTGGCGGTCCCCGACCAAGTTTGTGTATATGTCGCCCTCGACCACCACGCCGCTGGTTGGCGCCGCCGAGTACTACTCTGAGTACTACGGTCACAACCCAAACTTCCTGCGGCGCGTGCACGCGTCGCTGCGCGGAGGCGGGAGCACTAGCCGCCGCTCCTGCATCTTCCTCGCAGGCGACTCTTCGCTCGACAACAAGTTTTGGTTCGACTCGTGGGCGGCGGCGACCAACGGGTACGAGGCTGTCCTCGCGCCGGGCAGGATGAAGACCGACGTGTGCTACTGGCTCAACGACGAGCTGGTTCGGCGGGGGCATGGCGGCCGCCTCTTCTGCCTCAACACCGCGGTCGAGGCCACCTCGCTCAACACGCGCGCGTGCGGCCGGCTCACGCCGCAGGACCGGCTGATCGCGAGTGCCATCGGCCCGGACGACGTCCTGGTCGTGTCGGTTGGCGGCAACGACATCGCGCTTGAGCCGCTGCTCTTCACAGCGCTCAACCTCTCGCTGGTCGCCTGCTGCACGCCGCAGGTCTGGGAGTAGACATTGCGCGGGGCACGCTGCGCAGGACACCGGGGCGACACACCCACCCGCATGAGGTACATTGCATCTTCGGGCTCTCTCGGCATATCTCTCGGCCGATCTCGCGTGATCTCCCCTCCGATCTCGTGCCACAGGTCTGCATAGAGCAGTGCGCCTGCGCCTGCCCACCCAACCTGCGGGTCGACCCTGGCTGCGCCTGCTGCGGCCTGCCAGGCTGCAATGCGAGATCGCCCGAGATCGCCCGAGATCACCCTATGGGCCCCCCCTCCTTGGCTGCGCCTGCTGCGGCCTGCCAGGGCACACATCGCCTCACGCCCTTGTCTGTTCCCGCAAAAACACAACCCCGAGCCCAGACGCACAAGACAGACCGTCGAGATTGGACAGGCAGCAACGACAGTCAGAAGTCCACCCGGGATCCCCGAGACCCTTCCCAGGCCCTGCCCGGAGCCGTCCCGGAGCCTGCCCCGAGAGACTCACAGTCGGTCGTGGGCGGCCCGCGTGCGTGAAAAAGGGTTGAGTACATGCGACCCGTCCTCAATGAACCAGCCAGCTAGTCTCCCCCACAGTCTGACCCGCAGGCCCACTCCCTCCCGCCATCGACTATGGACTACTCAACAGCTTGCCTGCCCGCAGGTTGCCTCGTCTCGCCTTGCGGCTGCCCGCCCGGCCTCGGCTACCTTGTCGACCTCTTTGGCAACCGCGTCCAAAACTACATCGAGCGACTGCTCGCCGGCCGAGATTAGCCGAGATCACCCGAGCTCACCCGAGATCACCCGAGATCACCCTCGATGGGACCGAGGTGCAGTGCCAGCCGGCGAGATTAGCCGAGATTACCCGAGATTAGGCCGGCGGCCCGCAAGGGTGGTCGTCTGCATGATCTACTTTTTGGACGTGCACGGGCGCGGCTCCTGGGCGGACTGCTTCCTCAAGGCGACCTGTAGTGTACAGTCTCACCTCGGGCA